CTTCTTCTTCTTCTTCTTCTTCTTCTTCTTCTTCTTCCAAAGATATAATTGGCCGCAAAGCAGAGAGGGCGTCAGAAACTTCTTTCTATTTGTGACGGACAGGATGAATAACGCCAGACTGCTGCCACAAATCATGGCTCGTTACGAAGTATAATAGTTTACTTTAACACATTTTAGGCGAACGCCACATGATCTATATCGTATACAACATCGTGCTGCGTGAGCAGGTAAATTCGCTCCATTTCTCGCCGAAATTATTGCAGACGATGGCTGAAGCTACCATCAAATTTTTGAGCCTTAATAGTTTTTACACCTTATCAGTTATCTTTTGCATCTTATTCATTTTAGGTTTTTCCCTCCGTTCCTTCAGCCGATTTTGGCCATTCCGGTTAACTTGATATATGCTGTTGTTGTCGCCTTTGGGCTGTGTCCGAAAGTGGGACAACAGTATGAAATAATTTCTGCCTCCACTTTCGCTTCGGCTGACATCGTCAGAGCTGGCTTTTTACCGAAAGATCACTACAAGTAAGAAACAACATTTTTGGGCACATAATTTCTTTGCTTTTTAAATCACAGCCGCTCTTTACTTGCTTGCATTGAAAATCAATGTGAACAATTAATACTGCTTAAATGGTATTTTTTACAGCATATTTTCTCACGTGGCCGAGAAGTTCATTCAAAAATCGCCATCCTGACGTGACTTAGATACCTTTAGATTATATTACAACCCAATTTAAGTGATGCTGTCAAATCTAAAACACATTTAACGAGCTAGCACATTTACTGCAGTTATTTCTCTGCTAGCGCAGCAAATGTAACCCTTATTCAAATAAAAAAAACACCAGACACATATTCAAAAGTTAAACCCTATCCACAGACGAGAGAGAATTCTTTTCAGCAAAACGAATTCGGTTACTGTCGCCAAAAAGGTATAGAAATAAAATGTGTAGGAAACATTCCTGGCATTCCCGCTCGGTTGAGTCGTCCTCTACAATTTTACCTGCCCATCTTAAAACGTCTTTTTTTATACTCACTCTCCAAACCTTTTCTGTCCGGCTTTTATACTTTTTGTAACATTCTTCATTTCATTTTAATCTTTGATCTTTCATGGTTTCTAAGGTTACAATTGCTCCCAAGTTGACTTTCTAGAGACGTGCCTTTTATAAGATCATTAATTCTGCGCAAAATTACAGTCTGACTCCAGACAACCTGGTCCCCCTTTGACTATAAATTTGCACATTTAACGTGCAGGCGGATCGCTCTTGAGAGTCTAAACGCAAGACTCTCTCAGAAGCCGCCTGAATCGGAGCCATTGGAAGCCTGGCCGGCACTAGACGAAGATGTTGCTCCTAGTCAGTCTGAAGGCAATAGTCTCGCATCCTCTCAGCCTCTACTATCACCGCCGGCCTCCTCCACTAGCAGTGCCAGCCTGTCGCCGTCATCGGCTGCGGCAGAGGGGGAAGGAAGGCGAGAGGAGAACCGAGATGCATCAGCATTTCATGTCTGATTGACAACGCCAAATGAAGAAAATACCGGCTGTGCTTCTCTTCCCCGCGCCCACTGCTCCGTAAACGGGTACCTGCCCTCAGCCTAGTACTGAATTTATATCAGCATTCCAACTTATTCATGTCCAACCCTTCGTTTGACTGAGAGTCAATCATCCGCCACACTTTTGTCTATTATTCAACCGTTTCCGAACAGGCTCAGACAAATTAAAGGCTCTTCCGGAGGTCTGAGTTGTGTTAAGTTAACAAAATGACATTTTCGGTTATCCTCTTTCCTCGCAGTCGTGTGAAAGTTTGACGTCTAAAAGTGAATATTACAGAATAACTGATTCTTTTGTCGAAGAAAAGGGAATTTACGCAGAAATTACTCCATTCATTTTTGACTAATTTTTTGGAGCAGACCTTGCTTTGAGCGGACGTCGTAGCCGTGGCTTTCGTTTATCGAGCAAAGAATGATGTGTGCAAAGGGGTTAGCATGTCAGCTGAGTCAAAATCGTACTCCCTCAATCTATTAACCCGAGAATACGCAAACCATCAATACAAGGAGCATATTTAAACGACCCATGGTAGTTATTGTGATTCGATGACCTTCACGTCAGGCTTCAAGATCATCAGTGCATTCAATTCGGGATTTTGCGTGTTGCCTCTGCAAATGTACAATGCGTAATTTTCCAGGGTTGGATGGTCTTCGTCAAGGCGTTTCTTCTCTCAAAATTATGCCTGGTATATATTTATAAGCGCATCAGTTCTATTTACGTTGGAAAAAAACTTGAAAGGGGAATGGTCTTCGTTGGCTGTTCTGGCAGGGTATGCGCGTCGAAGAGTGCTGGGGTTTTTGCTCAAACGATTCCTTGTAAGTTCCTGTAGATATTGTGCCAGGTGAATTTTTTCCTTTGTATTAATAAGCTAGTGGATTAGGGTATTGACGTTTCTTAATACTCGCCTATAACCAATCGAAATCTGTCTATGGAAAGGGAACTTCTTCCAATCATCAGGGTGGTCGTTATCTAACTAATCTAATCAAACTTTCGGTTTTTTCTTTGTCACTGCTATCCAAGTCTTTTTTGCAGGATAGCAACCCGTAGCAGCTTCCTAACATATCTTCCTTATGGACACATTTAATTTTGTGCAGTCTTAACACCACCAACAAACAAAAGACTACTTACTCAATACTAAAACTGTGAGGACTCGCACTGGCAAGTCTTGAATAGTTTTCTTAAGCAAACATGCTAACCTTACCTTACCTGAATGAAAAGATTCACGATCATGAGTGACTGCTACCATGGTCAGGATGGAACACTTCCGGATAATAGAAACAGCGGGGGACTTTCAAAGACCGCAGATGATTCATTTAATCTCGATAAAGTTGGCTTAGAGACGTCTATGAGGCCGAACCACCCGAGCTTTCTTGCGTTCGGGAGCATTCGCACGGGCGTTCAGTCGGGTATTATTTTTGCCCTCACCTGAACGCCTTGAGTGCTCAGTCGGTTCAATTTAATGCATCTTTTGAGTTGACCCAAGTGTGAAAAACTCTAGGCGTGAAGCGGGCGTTTGTAG